CTCAAAGTCACGTAAATTMCGATAAATTATTTTAAGAATTTTGTCCTGTAAAAGATTTCTTGATATTGTGTAATGTGAAATTATGAACAACGGAATTTTCTTGAAGGAATTCTAAGTGACTCAGAGCAAAGTTTTAGTCAAATTCGCTATTGTGCATTTCCGATTATTGAGTTTACCACTGAATGGAATTGAAGAAACTCTCAACTAATTGCTTTTTTTTACAAATGCAAACGACATTTTTTTGAGATTTTCGTGCGAATCAAAGTAATCCTTAAAGCATTTAAACAATTGGTGACAAAATATGCCAATTGAAAGCGCAAATCTCTGCGTGAAAATCTACGCCATCGTCAGTGACGTACGCCCTTACTTCCCTGCTGTAACTAACACTGCAATTCTATTGAAATTTCGCTTTGGCTTCTCTCTGGGAAGCTTATATGTATGTCTGTTGGAAGCAAAAAGAAGAAAAGAGTTGTAGAAACAATTGATATTAACGAAACAAGAATGTGCAAGAGTCAGCAAGGTGCTGGCATTATATTTCATCGCGTAGTTTTCGAAAGATGAAATTTTTCTATACCAGCGATTGAATAGAATATAGTGCCTAACAATTTTAAACATCAAATTTTKGAAAGAAATATTATTAATCAAGGTGTACTTTAGTACTACTAAACTATAATAAAAGCAATTAATATATAATATCAATGAGGCAAGATTTTGCTGTTACTCCGAGTTTCGTGCCACGCACTATTCTGACAGTATTTGATGATGCAATTAATATAAATTTATACAAAGTCAGGCCAACCGTTGAGACTTTGAGAACAGGCGCCAAGCATGAAACCTTATTTTCAGTACTTCCAACACTTGGAAGTGAGCTAATTCTTGATGAGATAAATTATTCAATTTTAACAAGTCATTGTGAACAAAATCTTTAAAATTTAATTCGTTCGGGTCGTCAGACGTTTGGCTATCAACCTTATTCAAAATTTCTGATAATTCCGATCCACGATCAGTAGCACAGACAGCATTTAAGGCTCAAGAGTTCCTTGCACTAGCGAGTTTTTAAAGAAAATTGATACTGATTTGGCCATGGAGTTATGAGTTATTAAAATGTAAATTAAAATGTATACAAGATTGAAAATTAACCATTTTAACAGCTTAGTGTCAAAAACGGTRCAGCCAGTGCTTTCAGTTTCTGAAGAGTCGATATGCTAAGTTAAGAAAATGAAGGCGGTTTACAAGAACTTGAAAAGTCTTCATGATTCTTGAAAATTGGATCCGTTTTGATCTTGTGATCGTCTACAGTTGTAGGCTCATTAAAAAACGTACCCTTTGAGAAAGAAAATGAATACTAGACGAATGATTAAGACAAAACTTAAAAATKAACCAATCTATAGTGATATTGCATAGACAAATCAATTATTCATAATCTCACAGTTAGGCCTTTATTTCTTAATAGCTCTATACTATATTTGTTAGAAAAAAAACATTGAATGATACATACAAGAATGATGTGTATGAATGTGTAATGATGTGTTCTGAATGTGTATTGACTTTTGTATTCGAGTGGTTCGTTGCGTTAACTATGAAAAATAGCATTTTAAGTTTGATGTTTAGYACACAGGAAAACATACGTAAAGCGATTTTCGTAAACTGGTGAGACGCGACTTAAMRTACTGCACTCTGTTGCTCTTCATTTTACACAGTTYTCTTTGCATTTTAGTTGTATTTAATTTATTACACTTTGGCTATATACTTTGTTTCACGGGTTTAGATTGGTTCTCYCAGCCCGTGAAACGCACTCAGTACACGTTTTTTCTTTAGTCTTTTCGGCGTTATCGACAGCAAAAATAACTACCAAGGAAATCCGCACAGACAAAAACTAGAAAAAATGAAAACAGCATGTTTGGTTAATCCTTCAGCAGCATGCCAGTAGAACTCCTGACGACTATAGAACAAATTCATATGTAATTACTTTACGCGGTTCCAGCTAAGCTGCTACACTAGTTGTTTAATACACGCTTGATAATATTGTATAAATTAAATATCTAATTGCTCTATAATTATAGCTTTGGATAAAAATGGTATGTCTGGTCTGAAACTACGTACGTTTAATTGCTAACCAAACTGTACATCCGACAACCAAAKCTTGGAACATGGTAAACACAAATTTAACGTGGAATGAAACGACAGTTGAGTTCTTAATTTTACCAAAGTCTCATTTTAATCAAGTCTAGTTTTATTTTCAAGTGAAAGAATTGTAAGTTACGAACAATGTCTGAAATTTTGAGCTTTCATAACTTCAGGGCATTTGTTTCACTAACTTTTAAAACAGATACACGCCTCAACTAATCAACCTTGTATCAAGTATCTTTGTCTGAAAGTTCTGATTAAAATACAATCAAAAAATGTGTCTGAAATGTTATTTCMAGTTTAACTGGTTAGCGAAGAAGTCAGTTATAGATGTCAAAGCTTGCAGTATAGAATAAGGAACAATGAATTAAGGGAAGACAGCTCTATATAGTTTTAAATGTAGGCAAATAGAAGCCAAATGGCAACGTCAACTTTGTGATCATAAACTCATCTTCCTGAAGGAAAATATCACTGAACATTTATGGTTTATTTTTGATTAAAACTTCATCTYCAAGTTCGTGCCAGTTCAGTGTTAGTTGATGTAGCGAAAAGCTGTCTGCAAAGGWCTAAAATATAATTGAAAACTTAGAAGGTAAACCGGTCACTAAACGTATTCGTAAGACTCTCAGGCTGCAAAGATAGCAATAGCGACGCCCATTAATTAAAACAGTTAAGACATAAATCGACATCATTCAAACTCAATGTGCAGTGTCTCAGCGAGTTGAATCATGTCGAATRCACACTATTCATTGCGACAAATGTCATAAATCTGCAGGTTTTTAATCTTAACATAAAAGCGACGCGAAATAACTTTTAAGTTTGTTTGGGTGTCAGAGAACAATTATACAAACTTTGCCGCAATTATGAACTTGTATTAATTAGGTATGCACTTTAGTGTGTATTAGTAGCCTATTTAGCATGCCTTTCGTGGACCCTTACGCCAAAATTAGACTAAATCTTTTTGCTTAACTAAATATGCTTTTAAAATTATTGCTATTACTTTTTTTTACCGCGCTGCTGTTACATATTATCAGAAATTCATAGTCGATTTATAGCTCTAATGTGCTTGAGACAGCTTAAAACGCTTCTAAATGACTTGCAGATAACTCAGTGTTTATTGTCACGATAAGCTTTGTTCTTTTCAAAGCATCTCCACCGCCAATTCTAATATAAYCTAGTCACTGGTTTCTGGAAGCTGGACCGTTGGAACCGTTAGCATCAAATTGGCCCATTGTACAAGCGTTTAACGAACCGTTATGCTTTAGATAGAGTCACTAAATCCTTAGTTACTTGCTTAGAAACAACCAAGGACGCAACCATTACATTGTCGACCCTCGATAGTGTACCAACGAAGAAAGAATAGGAAAAGATGAATAGAACAACAGAGGTTTGGAACACAACAGATAAGCGTGATCATTGTTCACRGCCTTTATGAGGCTTCATAAGACCCATTGTTCTATGAGAGACAGAACGTGCCGTATAAAAACTAGTATTGTTCGCAATGGTTTGTGCTTAATTCATGTCTTTATGTTCCATTCATTAAAAACATTATTTTTCTTTCATTTAGTTAATATGCTTTGTCCAATGAAAGCATCRCACTGTCTCAAATTGTGGCGCGCAGCTTTGTCCCCGTGACAAACAAAGTCATGAAAGACCTAAAGGGAGCGAAAATGGCGGGAGTTTTTATAGGACAAAAACTTTTCGCAACAAAAGGCTCGCGATGGAGTTTATTGCTTTCAAGAATTATAAAAGGTACTTTTATCGAAGTGCAATAGAATATAGGGAGTGTCCAATCAAAGTGTCATATCTGCAAATGAATCTTTGTTTAAATGGTCCTATAAAACGCCACTTTTGAATAGATGCACTTGATATAATGAATAGTTTGTTATTTCAACAAAAAAATACTTCTCGATACATTGAAATAAACCTATCGAATGCTCTTGTGGAAACCTCTTAAAACACATGTGTYCCCACAATGTTTCCTTTCAGTTCTACCGTCAGGTTTACTCTTTTCAAGGTCTTTTTCATACAAGTCTTGATGGATGCTTTGTCACTGGTAGTTAGAAATATTACATTATGATCCGCTTTTGAGTAGGTGTTCCATTCATCACCACAGGGTTGACATTTGAAAAAAAAAAAAACCTGATCAAACTTCTTTTCTATTTAAAAGAACAGGGTTTGAACTTTTGAAAGTTTGAAATTCCAAAATTTGCTTGACTTTTTTAATCAGGAATTATGGTTGAATATTTTCGCAAGTTTTTGTCAAGGTCACCAGTTTTCGCAGTAAGCCTTTTATGGGTTACCTGCCGTGGACACGCTAAGAACATGCACCATTGAGTTCCGTAGTTCCACTCCATTGGCTTGAATACAGAAACATTTCCTTCTCACCTGGTTACAGGTTTTTTTTACGTTGACGATCTCAAACATGAAACTTTTTTCTTCCATTGGTTTCTTTCGTGAAAATAATGTACTTCAATTTTTACTTCAAAACTGATAAATATTCATCAACGYAGTGTATTGTTTAGTAGGTTTTATTACTTAAGTTAGCTTTTCAAGTCATAACAGTTTACTTGGTATATAGATTTATAAGATTCAAGCTCTTGCGATATCGATGATCGCCTTGTCATTGTCATAAAAGAAGACTCATTAGTCTTCCCTCTCATGAACTTCACAAATTATCAGAGCAACACTGAAAGTGATATTGTTTCCCCACATCATACATCAAAAGATGAATAAATGCTCCTTCAATATTCGTCTGAATCGAGATTTGACAGCTCTTCATCATAACCTGCACTATTAAGACTGCACAGAAACCCATGAGCAGGTCATTTGGCTAGCAAAGGCTAATTTCATATTACAACCACATCTGCACTTCAATGTCGAGGCCCCCTGCTACGTCTAATCAATGTAGCGAGGTCTCATAGCATAGAAAGGAAGTCAACCCGAAATGCCTACGGCGACCAATCGACACACGTTTACACGTCAATCAAGGGTTAAAAGCTAGACATTTCAAATCAGTATCATCAGTGGGTTTCTATTAAACATCGAGTTAACATCTCCGTGGTCAYATTCTGTAAAAGTGCGTCATGTATACGGTTGACAACTTGTTGCATCAAGACTTTCATCCCAACAACACCAGCGGATTTCGCTTTTCCTACGGAGCGCAAAGTGACAGAGAGATGGGKTTTTTGAAAAGAGTACTACCACTCGATAAGAGAAGCAAAGTTTCCATCGTCAGTTCCAAGAGCGAGGAGAATGACAGCGAAGATGAACTTCTCAAAGAGAAGGAAAATGCAAAGCTGAAGATGATGGAAGAGAGAGAAGACGAAGACGAGCAAGATAGCAATGACAACAGGAACTTATCAGAAACATTCGTTGCAGTCATTGCACAGTCAATCCTAAGCGTACCAACCAAGCGTATGACCCTAAGTTCAATCTACAGCTACATCGCAAGCCACTATCCACACTTTGACAAGGAAAAAGGCCCAGGCTGGCGAAATAGCGTGAGACACAATCTCTCAAGTAATGATTGTTTTGTAAAGGCAAGTCGCGCAGAAAATGGCAAAGGACATTATTGGATGATTCATCCTAAAGATCTCCCCGAGTTCTCCAAAGGAAATTTCCGTCGTCCTCGTAAACCAAGACGGCCTCGATGTTCTCAAGGGATAAGCTGTTTTTCAGAAAGGTCTTTCTTCCCTTCGCCAATTGGAGGAAGCTATTTTATGAGCCCGTACGCTGCGAAGCACTCTGAATATGACTACGCACCGGCCTCAGCAGCGTTTCCACTGATTGCTTCTACACCTGATGTCTTCACGAGAGCCTATGGCATTCCTTCAAGATACGATGCATTCCCTCGAGACGAATCCCTAGCAATTTCTGGGTACCACAACCTCTCGCCGTCTTCCTCGCCGACGTATCTTGGATTCCCTTGGCCTGATACATCAATATTTAGAAATTATCCAGCACTGAGCCATGGTTACTATCCTTATATGTTTATGCCTCCAGGTATTGGAGATGTATCGCTATTACAAAAAGACTCTTTAAAACCAAAGGACGACTAAAGGAACACTTAGCTTAGATACTAAATGTTACACCGCCGTTTATTTCTAGTGTGACTTTTAAAGATATTGTTAATAGAAAAGAAATTAATATTTTCACAAAATAACATCCAATAGTGGATTTTATGGAACTTATTTCTTGAATACAAGATCGATTCTTCACGTACTTATTTGAAATAATCTCTTTAGTACACAAACAGATTGTTGTTCTATTGTTTTCAAACCGCTAGGCATTGTAAATAATCCCAGACATTGTATAAAAAGATTGAGGTAAGACACGCAATGTTAGGAATAATAAGTTTACAAATGAAAGCCGTGAGAAAAATATTGTACTTTCAATCCTTAGACAAAATCGCTATTTTAATACAACCATATGACATATTAGGAACCAAAGAGACAGTATTTAGAATCAATAATTTCCGTTTAACTTACACAWTGTAAATAAGTTTGCTCATGTAAATAGCTTAAAAAAATTGTTTTTTTTTTATCAAATAAACATTTTTTCTAAACAAATATAAACATTGCTCTAATTGTTTAGAACTTCAAAGTTTATAAATTTCGATGGCAGCCTCGAAAATGATCATCGTGATCCAGTGTTTATGTTTGTGCGCTGACCGGCCGTCAAAACAATTGCTCATTAAACTACCTCCGTGACCTCAATAAAAAAAACGAGGATAAGATAACTCCATAAGCAAGTGGTTGGATTTCTGATTGCTGTAGTTCGGGGCAAAACATTCTACAACCTTCGAGACGTTATCTTTCAGTTTCCGCATCTTTCAGTTTGCGTCACTGATTTCTCCAGCGAACATGATCCGAGTTACCTCCATAGTTTCCCACGAATTAACCCTCGATATTTAACAATTACAGGGTAATTAATATTACTCAACAAATTGGAACGCTTCATTTGAACACTTAGTCACAATGGGTACTATGTGCGTTCATATGTATATTGGCCACTATCAGAGCAAACTGCTTGATGGCTGCATGCGGCCGAAACCTGTGTTGCTTGATCAATTTGAAGGTGTCCTTTATCAGGTGACAAAGTCACTTTAAGAGCCCACTATCGATATAATAAAAGCAAGACAATTTACAATGAATAGGTATTCACTACTTTCACTCAGCATTTGTGTTTTGACACATTTATTACTCTTCTTGTGTAAAGGATATCAATTCAAATTCAGTTGTGGATCTCAGGGAAACCTATCGAATTGCTCGAATTGGTGGGGTGGCTTCATGTATTCTTGTAGCGCAATTGTGATGGTAGATTCTCGAATGAAGAACGAATAGGTCACCCTGCCATGTGGTCAATTCATTAGAAACAAGRGCATATTCTACTACATACTGTGTGGTATTATACCCTCCTTTTCTTAACACTGCAATCAATGTTTACATGTTTATTCGAAACACGTCGTCCGCCTCCAGTAGACTTTACTCATCACATTGAATATATTTGTTAACCCAATTTACGATGAGATAAGATTAGACAATGAAARTAAATTAAAAGGGCCTGGCAGTGTATGTTTTAAGATCCAAAGAGAACGCACGCAATTATGGAAAAGGGGGGCTATTGTTTCGCTCATCTGACTCCAAAAACTCACGGATTGTTTGATAATAGCTACCGTGGGATTCATATAATCGTTCCTAAGTGATGGGCAATTGATATAATGAACGTTTTGACATGCTAAGCCAGCCGAAGCCAATTCATTCCCTTACATATTACGACTACAAAACATATCAATTGAAAATCTATAAGAGTGACATTCATTGGTGATTACAATTGGCACCAGAATCCTCCCATCCTTAAGTCTCCATCAAAAAACCATTTTCTAAAAGGGAGCCTAAATAGGTCATTGCCTCAAGCAAAATTCCAGTGAATTGAGTTTCTATACTTTTTCGATCTCTAAAAAGATCTAAAGATTGTTTTGTTAAACTGTGTCATTTAACTAGCGTCTCGGAGTCTGCGTTTTCGTCGATGTGGATTAGTCATTTGTACCCSAATAAGCTCAATGCTAGACCTGTAATGAGGCCAAAGGAGATAATCTAGATTACTTCAATTAAACTGAATGCTTTGGTGCAAGGCAATTTGTGAAAAACAGATCAATTTTGTAATTCCTTCACAATTGTTTCTAATGCGAATATTGATACGTTGAAAGTTATCCTTTAGCAGCATAGTTGAGTGATGTGGAAAATACAAAATGTAGCCGAAGCCGCTAAGTGTGTAGATCGAGTTTACAACAAAAATATGATTCCGAGCTTTCGCTGTCTACAGCATCATCAGGGAATGGGCGGGATAGAATTGATAGTTTTTATCGTGAATCACTCGTAGTCCTTCTTTACGCCGTAATTTTCATGCCTAATGTGGCTACCACTGCATGGGGTCTTTATCATGATTGATATACCTGACTAAATCATTTCAAGAAAGTGTAACCTTAGTTTCCCTACACTAACTACCCAGACATTTTCCCACACTCAGTGGCTCAATTTCAAACACTTCAGATTTCTCGTTGCGATGTAATATTTGCCTCCATTTGTGAAGCTCAAAACTGCCAAAAAAGGTAAAAACATTTTTCTTAGACAAGAACAATGTGCGTTATATCCACTTTTATTCACTAAATAACATTTGCGTGTCGTCGATCWGATTGTTTTGTTTTCTAGTTGTAATTATTTGGTCTGAATGGACCATAAAAACTGTTGTGTATTACTCTAGCTTTTGATTTGGTTGTGTCAACAGAAAGCACCATAGTGAGAAAGGATAAAGATTTAGACCAAGGGTCTTGCAGCAGGAGGCRGCTAAATTTGTCATTACACTGTAAAACCAAATGCATCATAGATAATAATGTACTGTATAGATATTTGGTATGTAAAAAGTATAATCCGCTCATATTAAATTGTAGTTGCATATAAGTGTAGGGACCATTTTGTTACTGCTTGCTTTGACAACYGAGATGTGTCAAATGCAGGTCTTTGGAAGTAAAAGAAGCTTTTAAAATTGAATACACTTCAGACAGGTAAAACCAGAATTATTTCAAACAAAAGCTTGTTCAGTACCGGTTTGATGAAGGTCATAATTCTATTTTTGCAGTCAGTGGATTCACGCAAAACTATGGCAATATATAAAAAAGACAATGGTCAAACGTATTTCAGAAATATTTCTTATTTATTACTATCATTGAAAAATTCATCAATTATCAAAAGGAATCATTTTTGAGMATTGCAGATTTTTGTTTATACTAACAAAAAGCTGACTCAAAAAATCTATATTTCTTTGCCATTCTAGCTAGYRAGAACGTGCTTGTTAGCATACAATGTATATTCTAMGATTCTAAGAAGGCCAGATGGCCGAAACTCAAAAGAGTTATCAAGCTACAAACTRCATGAATTGTTGTTTATGTATATTTAARCACRCTGCAACATAGCTTTAATCTGTATTTACAGTTTTATTGCTGGAATATTTGAAAATAAATAAAGCACTCGCAACTACTCATTGAGTGACAAGTGATGTCGAAGAAAGTGTTCGTTGATTAATGATCTCATGAACTCTACACTTCATTTATTATAACCGTAAAGCACTCGGTAAGAAGTTATATAAACTCAAAACTATCCAAACAACGGATTTTGTACTAATTTGAACATTTATTGTAACAAATGTGTTATGGATATTCTGAAAACAATCTTAAATTGTGCTCTTTTTATAAGTTCCTGGAAAGTGACTCGATTTGCGCTAAAAGAAATGACAACTTCGACTGCCGTGTACTGACGAAGTACAAGATATGACTAATTTTAAAATATTTTTAATGAAAAGATGCCAAATTCTCAAATTCAAGCAGAAATTCACTACACAATAAAAATCTTCTTAGAAGATTAAACAATCTTAGCTTTGAAACTGCATGATCAATGAAGTGTTTCATCCTCAATTGGTATATTTGAAGAAATTTTCAAACGGTGAAATTCACATGTGTGGATTGCAACGCGATTTTGATGATAYAAAAGGAGCTGGAAATTGKTTTGAAAGAATTTTCATGKACTTTAGCATATGTGGTCTAGCACTTGAAAGGAGCCTTATATGGTAGAGCTAAAAAAACCTCCAGTTTAATGTTAATAATGATATTGTGGTGMGGTTTTTCATTGATGTTGTATAGTCCTACTGTGGCTGCTAATGATACTGTGTTTGGTAGTGACCGCGAATCAAAGTTTAGATTTCTAGAATATACTCGGTCTCAAGCGATCTTAGTGTTGATCGCTTTATCATTAAACAAATATGGAGAGAGGGTACTCAAGCGCGGTTTGATTATATTTCTGTACAAGTTTCTTTCGATCTGAAGAATAACATAWCATGAGGCCTGTTACCTTACGAGCTAAAACAACCGAGTACAGATGAGAAWAGATCCCAAAAATAGATAAGTGTATACTAATTCTTCCTCGTTTTAAGACGCAAGCAGTTTCAAAGCATTAACTAGGACGACGCATCCAAGCAAGTGTGACATMATTTTGAATGACTCGCCATTTATTTTTAAAGCTTGTCTAGTTGGAGAGGTATATGAAAAAAGCCCTTAACTTTACACAGTGATTGCTTCCCGTGGGAAAAATGTAACATCCAAGCTCCATTAACCAACGTGTACCCCAGGGCGACAGGCGAAAGACCCATTTATAAGTCAATAAGTGGAAGTTTTTATTAAGGTAATTGTGTATAAGTTTAGATGTTCCACCTTGGAATATTGGCCCATATTTAGATTCATGGCGTGGGGTCGTCTACTGAGCTGGAAAGATCGAAACAGACTCTTGGATGGCAGCGTGCATTTAGCGTATACCATCTAAGGTTGAAAGACTAATATATTTATATCGAAATAATATTCTTAATAAAGTGCAGACATTTTAAGATTGTAATGTTTAAGTTAAWAGTTACTGATTTCGTCAAAAGCGCATTTAAAATACATGATAATTGGCCATCTTCCTCTCTGTCTATTAATCCATAGATACGCATTCTTAATCCCGACTGCAAAAAATGAGAAACACAATGGATTAATCGCACTCTTTACTGCAAAAAGAACCTCACAAAACGTTAATTGAAAGTTTAAGTATTAGTATTTAGTCACACTATTAAACTATTCAAGTATCGAGTGTGGTCTTACAGCCAGTCAGTTAGCGTGTGAAGTTTGCTTCCTTAGTGACAAATCCAAAAATCATGGGAACGCTAACAGATCGTGATCAGTATAATTGCCTAATTGAGACAAGAGAAAAAGCTATAGATCTTATATTTAGCGTATAGTAAGAACTTTTGAAATAGCCGAACTTATTAGAACGTTATCCTTTCAAAAGTCCAATACCAGCTCATTTACCCTCGAACAATGAGTAAGCCAGCCTCTTACCTTAGGCTAGAAGTTAATGCCTTGTCAACATAGTGAAATGATGGCACTACGTAAAGCTTAGCGCTTCGAGGCGTTTGCAAAGCACATGTACACGGATAAATGCACACTATGTCGTGACAAACGTGGGAATCTGGAAATTGATACGGCCATAGATATCTACTTTAAAGCGATGATATATGCTGTATACAGAAGAATACAGTCACGAAAAATGAGCTCGAGTTTGTTTATAGAATAAATGTCTTTTAATGGTGACTATACGCACAGCAGCATATTGCAATTATGACAACCAGTTATCAAAGCATTCTTTATGTGTAAAATACCTTCATATTACCCTTTTGTAGCAAATCACCGCACGGTATTTGGTGAAATCTTCATAATGCATGCTAGATTAGGAAAATAAATAACAAGAACAAGAACAAGAAGGACAAGAACGAGAAGGACAAGAACGAGAACAAGAACAAGAACAAGAAGGACAAGATATAAGAAAAATACAGAACAAAAACAAATAAACAAGAAAAAAAAACTGGTACAAAACGTGGCAAACATTTAGTGTTTATAGCTCCCACACACAGCTAAAATCCACAACTGACAAAACATTTTAGGTATGAAAAGAAAGCTCGTCCAAAACATTGATGGTGAATAGAGTACCAGTCAACCATGACAACACTATCTTCATGTTCTTATAGTCAAGGGAATACCAGTAAAACATTGCATTTGTCTGCATGCTGNCAGACAGAGAAAGTTAATACTTCGAACGGCATGCCCTAACATTCAAGGTGCATGTTCTATCCCCTCACTTCACTGCACATTAATCTTCTGAGGTTGCATTATCATTGCAAATGTTTATTGAGACTGCAGTCTTTTGCTTCTTCGCATATACGTAATTGAAAATACTTTCACATACATCATCTTGACCAGAGGAACCAAGTAAAGGTAAATGATTAGGCTGTTTGCATGCTATATAACCGTGTTTCAGGTTAAGAATTCGGTAAACTGTTTCCACTTATCATTTGCCACCGCGAGCTCTAGTCTTGCAGTCTCAACATTGATGACGTAACCTCTTTAAACCCGACAATGATTTTTTCTAAAAGGTGTATGCATGTTGACACTCTTGTCCATTGTTCGTGACAGACAGCTGTTTCTGGTGAAATATGGGTATCATGCCCTAGCTCCTCTCGRGGTATTAACTGCTGCATGTTTTGCAACAAAGATAGATAAGAAAATAAATGATTGGAGATAATGGCATAATTTTAATAGTTTGCATACCAAATAACCTGCGGGAGGCCTTGGGTATTTTAAAATGGTTTCTGGAGTAACAAGATTTTTRTGGGAACATTCCACTGCAAATATGTGGTAAAGAATGCACAAGTGGCTCATAGAACGTTGCATTTTTTTCTAAATTACTAGCGGGTGGTCTCCTTTTAAGCTTTAATTGGATATAACATATTGTGTCAAAAGAATACAACTTGAAGACTTAATTTTTACTCATTTTGTAGAAGATATATTCCTGTAAATATATATGCAATGTTGCATGTCAGAATAATTGTACTTAAGTACACAATATCAAGTTTTATACAACTCACTCGACTATGTATTTAACTTCCATGGTATATTTATTTTTGGAAYTGTTTACAAGTTAAGAAGTTAAAAACATGACATTATTTTTCATCGCATGCTGGGTTTAGTAGCCCGAAGGTGTTGTGCTTGTTTTGATTGCACGTGCATGTAMGCAGTTKAAAACAAGGTTTCCCAGGCAATCGGTGAAAYATGCAATACACTGTTATAGGGGCAACATATCTTAGTATGGACCGCCCATAATTAGAAATAAATAGTTTCAAAACAAGCTAAAGATGTTTGATAAAAAAATATCAAAAACAATAGTAATACAGAGAGAAAGGCACAAAATAATTTATAAAATGTTGAACGTTTTCGAACTAAGAGTTCATCATTAGAACTCATAGTTCGAAAACGTTCGACATTTTATAAATAATTTTGTGCCTTTCTCTTAGTATAACAATTGTTTTCCTTTTGGCGATTAAAATGACAATAGTAACACACTTTGCTATAAAGAAGRAAATTCTTTATGAATATCTAACTCTCCAATAGGCTCGCCACTTTAGACACGTGAATTTTAGATTCACAGACAGAACAAGACGTAATAAAATTAATCCCAACGTACAATTTTATTGATATTCTATTATGCTTTTTACTACTATGTATCAAGGTATGATCTGTTTACTCAGATTCAGAGCAGTTGTGAGAAAGGCTTAATTTTGAGTTTGGGACATGATATACTAAGTGCAGTGCATCCYTGAAAACCCAGATACTTTTGAAAAAGGCCAGKGATATTTGTATGGGTGGTCCCTCGTGGACGTACATCACTTTATGCTAAAGAATTATTCCACATAWTATGGTCCATTACCCTTATAACCATTCGAAGAGAAAAGAGAGATTTCACATTATGCGCTAGTTGTGTCTGTCGATTCTTGAGTAGGCTCTTCGCTTTTCTTGGCGCCAAATGGCMTACCGATGCCTGCAATGGAACCAAATGGCATAGAGATACCAAGAGACCCACCAATGTCCAATGAGGGCAAAGCATTTTGGTTCGCTTTATGGGCTTTTGCTCTCTCTTCTTTCTCTCTAGCTGCCTCAGCTTCTYTCATCATGTCAAAGATTTGAGTCAGTGTACTTTTCATGTCATCGATACTGGTAAATATCAAGAAAAGTGTGATTATAATATCTATTTTGTAACTTGAGACGGCGTTTTGCTGTAGTTCCCATGGACGGGATTTGCTGACAAAGGTTGAAATCGCATGCGTTAAGGAAAAAGAGCTTGGAAAAAGTTTTTTTATGGGTTTCTCATCGAAAGGAGAACAGAGTTCGCAGTTAGATAAGTCTTCCTGACGTCCACTACAGTTAAAAGCAGGAGCAATCTTATTGTAGTAGAGTTAAGTATATCAACGACACTATCTCAAAGCAGAAAGTCAAAGGGAGCCCATGTCTAAGGATAATTACGTTAGTGTCTAGAACGTAAGGAAAGAGGATTTTTTTTTTTTTTTTTGGAGGGGGTGGGGGGACTAATGGAGGGTGAAGCCTGCTCAAGGCTCAAGTCTTCATGGTCAAGAACTGAAGTGATGACGGGGAATGGTGACCAAAGATGTAGTTGTTCTGTATTTTGCAGCGGGTAATACTTGCTTTCTTCCATCAATTGATTGCAAATAAAAGTATTGTTGTCGTTTTCGCGGGATCCCTTTGTTTTTAAGTTTCCAGGCYAGGTTGTCAAGGAAGTCAAGAGGCCATATTCTCGCCCGGTATGGTACTTTTATATCTTAAAATTTCGCAAAATTGCCAAAGAACGAAAGAGTTCTTCTGTCTGAGCATTCACGATTCGATTTCAAGAAAAAAAACACATATGGAGTGAGACGATGGCCCTACGAACTGTGTTTTTCTAGCAAAATTCAATCATTTTATTCTTAGTTACGTACGTATGTGACTGTTCATCGAGTTTTCCTTGCAGCTCAGCTACTTTATTGTGGAGTTCTTTTTCGTCTGATCCAGAGCTCTCTTCTGTATCAACCTCACCAAAGCCAATGAGTACATCGAAAATCTGAATCAAATATCATTCAAAGATGAGTCGTGCATAGAGTCTTGGTAAGATACTTGCTCTTAGTGAAAACGGACAAAATAAACTGAGTATCGAATAGAGTGAACGCACTTAATCCGTGCAACTCTACAAAATCTAAGTTGTACTTATTTGTACTGAAAATGGACCTGAAGTAAGACGGTATTGAATGCTTCATTTGTATCAATTCAATTTAATTTGCGTATCGCATGCACGATTTACTAAATGCAACTAAACATCACTATTTAGTTTGTACAGTTGCACGGATTAAGCGCGATCACTCTAAGAGTGAAAACACCAAAAGCGTGAAACACTAACAAAATAGTGGCAAATAATGTGAATTAGAAAGTAGAACAACAAAGAACAGTAGAGTGATCGCATCTTTAAAACCGTGCAACTGTACAATATCTAAGTAGTACTGATTTGTACTAAAAGTGGAACTGAAGCATAAGACGGTATTGAGTACTTCATTTGTATCAATTCAATTTAATTTGCTTACCGCATGCACGATTTACTAAATACAACTAAATAGAACTATTAATTTTAGTTTGCACAGTTGAACGGTTTAAGTGCGATCACTTCCCACTATATCAAAAAACAAAAACAAAACAAAACAAAAAACACAACACAACACAACACAACACAACACAACACAACACAACACAACACAACACAACACAACACAACACAACACAACACAACACAACACAAACCAAAACAAACCAAAACAAAACAAAACAAACAAAAATGAAGAGAATGTTTCCACGTGACTAAATACAGTGTTATTACTGGTTTTTGTACGTACTCTTTTTCGTATGGAAGGCGTCTTGTTGGGAAAGTAAATAAAGGATATTTTCTGAACTTTTCGAAGAAGCCATCTTGGAAAAGACTCCTCGAGGTTGTGTAATAATGAAATCTAAAATATACACACAAAATAAGACATAAATACACAAGCAAGATCAAAGTGATCAAGTTTAGACAGATATTATCAATATT